CCTCTACGAGGTCGTCCGGCTCTCCCTGGTGCCAGACGTTTTCGTCTCGGCATTTTCTTGTAGAACACTGAGTATAGAGAGTGCGGGTCTATCTTGTGGTGATGGAATTCCAAGTGAGTTCTTCAAAGTTTTTCTTACAAACAGAGGTTCCGCCCCTTCGGTCGACGTAGGCATCGAGATCGGCGGACGGCCTTGTTCGTGGCGCCCAGCACCTGCTGGTGTAGGAGAGTTTGTACGGAGTCTAGGTTCAATCCGTGCCTACTTGGGTGGTCGAGCATTTATCCCTCCGGGTGTGGCGTGGGCGCCGAGCTGAGCGGGCGGCCTTTCTGAGGAGCGCCTTTTGTACAGCACCCGGCACTTTAGGCGTCCTTCGTACGGCGCCCGGCACTTTGGGCGTCCTTCGTACGGCGCCTGGTATTTCGGGCGTCCTTCGTACGGCGCCTGGCACTTCGGCGCCCTTCGTACGGCGCCTGGCCCTTCGGCGCCCTTCGTACGGCGTCCGGTATTTCGGGCGTCTCGGTATTTCGGGCGTCCTTTGTACGGCGCCCGACACTCTCTGGTACACTTACTAACTGAGAAATAGAGTCTTCACATGGGAGACTTAATTTAGATATATATGCCAAATTAGAGCCTGCTTTGCATATATATAGTTTTGTTGCTAACTTGTTATACAATTCTTCTTAAGTTTACACTATAATTAGATAATGGGAGACTTGTCTGGTTCTTACGTTTTTTCTTCGAAAGAAAACCTACCACGCAAACCTATTGGGAAATGAATGCTGTTTGATAACAGGTTTAAACTAAGGCAATTTTGCGCCTCTGTAAAGTACTCTACCTGAAAGCTTGCAACAAAATCTTTTCAACCATTTTGATATTCGTCTGATATCTCTACCTCCAGTTCCTGAGCTCTTTCTTCTTAATATTCTCTTTCGTTTTAAGCAGAAAAAGTGACCTGATCATGGGGCTAAGTTTTAATATAAGAGTTTCATTATTTCATCTTCATCCTAAAAATAAAAATTCATTTTAATCTCATTTCCAAATTCAACAAGTATATAATTTTTGTTTCATTTTATCATCACCTGATAATGACGAATATATACCTATACTCGTATCATATTTGTACCGTTTCAAATATTAATTAAATTATTTTTATAAAAAATATAAATTTCAACAAAGAAAAAAATTATGATATTATCAAAATATTCAATATTAAAAGAATATATTTATTTTGCTTTTTTGGATATCAAATATTAAAAAAATATTTAATTATATAAATATCAAATTAAAGTATTAAATAATAATTCAAAAAATTCAAAAAATTCAAAAAATTATTACATCTAATTAAAATTTCATAATAATCAAAATATTTATTAATTTTCCAAATAATTAGTAATTTCACTTCTATTACGTATAGAAAAGAAGAAAAATAATTAAGTATGATATAGTAAACGAAATTAAAAAATTTAGTTCTGAAACATAATAATATTTTAATAAATTACTGATATTTAAAATTATTTAATAAATTATAAATAATTTAGTAATTTAAACATAAATAAAGATGAATATGAAAATAAATATTGAAAAGATACCTATTCAATTTTAAAAAGTAAATATTACTCATTCATTTCCATAAAATCTTCAGATTTTCCGTCATAAGCAACTTAATTTA